TATCTTCGGGCCTTTGGAAAAATTAACAAAAGTTTCGTCAACACGATAAGTTGACGCAATTTAGCCATCCCAAAAACGCCTGCAATAGGCTTTGCATACACAAGTGCCCATTCTCAGCACGGCTGATTCGTTCAAATTCATCCGTCTGTATTGGAAAATGACTATTTTTTTTTTGTTCTATGGTTTCTTTGGTTGGAAGGAAGTTCCGGATGGCGAAACCTTCCCATATTTCAGAATCTCTGATCAGGTGGCTTTTGTAATAATTTTCGAATTCAAATGTGTGATTTATAGGGCACATCATATAGGATAAGAAGAGACAACCGAAAAAATGAATGATTTCTAATCTGACATGAATGCCAACCAAAGACGTCGCACCTGAGACGATCGAATTTGCACCGTTGTGAGCCATTGATGGCATTATTAATCTATCGCCCGTAAGAAATATGTTAGATCCTTAAGTTGTTACAAAGAATACAGGCGAGTAAGTTGGCTATTGGCAGATGTTCATGGTTTCGGGAATTCACACAGGGCGGGCATGAAGCGATTTCGGCCATCCCATATTTTCCGATACATCCGTAAAAAGAGAAGTAAAACGTTGTGTTCTATGAGCACGTAACAGCGAAAATAGTGACATTCAAAGATTTCCTTCTTATTTATACGCTGGCGTGATACGAGGATTGTTTTATATAGACATGTCTCTATTTAAGCACGTTAACAATAAGTTGTCATATATGCTCGTATGATGGTCGTCGCGCACTTTAGGTTCTCATTGATACTTAACAGGTTTGTATTACGTTGGCAATAGTAGATGTTTAGGCAGGAAAAACATTGCTCACCTAACGAATTTGCCTTACGTTTTGTCGTCATGGTATCCGCGTTTTTATGTTGCAAGCAATTTTCATATCTGAAGAAGTTCTTCGTCACTAATATACATCAAGCACCAGCAATATGATGAGCAAATAAATGAATGTTTAGTAAATGCTTTTCAATGAAACTACTTTGTAATTCTTATAAAGCTATACACTTTCTACTACATCTACTCGATATTCAAGTATATCATACCTAACCCGTACGATCCATATGTTGTACAGGGAACTCCAGATTTCCAGTGAAGCTATCTAGCACATCTTCGAGCTTCTATTTTGAATCGGTAATAGCGCCCCTCCTGTCGTGTATCCCCAACCCCTACTTCCTTAACTGGGCCTTAACTAGTCCGTCGAAATTGAGGACGTAAAATCAGTGCCGCAATGCCAATACGCAACACATGTATACATACAGTCGAACTGCGACTCAAGAGTGGTGGAATGAAGCAGTGTGTATCTTTTCTTTTTCATGTACTATTGCCGCCGCTGTCTCCAATCGCCACTACTAAGCGTACAGTGTCAGGGGACTGAGTGTAGAAATAGATGCCTTGATATCATTAGGAGGGAGGAATTCCCCAGAGTAACCGTAAAATGTCACAGGACTTGAAATAGCCAGTAGGCAGGCATCTTTGTTCAGACAACATCCCCATGACGATTACCGGTGCCGTCGCAGCTTCTGCTCTTGCTTCTACCAACACATCGAACCGATAATACTTAGGACGACAGGCAGCCTGGCGAGACTCCACGGCGCCCTGAAGAGTCGCAGTGTACGCAATCGACTCATGATTGTCGCTCTCAAGCGATCTCGATGTCGTTTGTTTAGACGATGCATTAGTATCTGTAATCTGAACGACCAAGCACTTGCGGCCGGTAAGATACCGCCTTCAAATCTACGACGTTGAAGATCACTGACTAGCTGGAGCTAAGACGACCGCAGCTTCAAAGACAGAGAACGAAACGCACGAATAGATGCTAGCCTAAACGAGTTCAAGCATGACTATTCGACTAATACAATGAATATAATTTGCGCCACGGCAGCGACAAAATATCAATGAAAGATGCTTTATTATTGTTACTCTATAACGTCAATCCGGGCCTGAAATCTAATCTTGGATGAATGACAAGGATTTTAATAATACCTAAAAGATAGGTAGTATGTTATATACGTATCGAGAAATAGGCGTCGTACCTTTCTGCTTACACTTGATAGATGTCACCGTTAGGCCTTTTGCGCCATTTAGGTTACACGATATTGGCGGACGCAAACATAATCTTTGCTTGGCTATATGGACCGGACGTGGAAGTGAGCCCCATATAAGATTATGGCTAAGCTGAAATGAACAGCTAGAGCGGCTGGTGTAATTTCAAAGTTCAATTTGGTAAAAGGGCGATATATACAACTAGTTCAGCCTGTGTTTGTAAATACTTAATAAGTACTTGTCGAAGCGACTGTTAAGTAATGCATCAAACATTTTCAGGCCTTTTTTACGCGTACCTTCATTTATTCGAAGGTACCGGTCGAGGCCTGCCAGTGCAGTGGTTAAAATTTAACATTACATAACGACTTAGCAAGATATCTATCGCCAATAACAGCCTCACTAAGTAAGTTACTGGGTCGTCACGAACCAGACCTGTATTGGCAACTGCAGCTTAAACTGTTGGAAAGCTTTGACCCTAATTACTGACTGCATACGTAAGCACCACTATAGGAAGGTAACTAACCGAAGATTCCAGCATCCATTTAGCTTCTCTCACGCGGTATGCACAAAGTGGTCATTTGAAACACTTCTCGCTGCCGTAATCGCCTGATATCTCTATCTTCTAATGGCATCTTTGCTATGAGATAAAACTGGCAAGATGGATGCGCTTTGTACAGATCAATTTCTGGTGATTGCAAACTGTGTTGTCCTTGAAGCTGTCTTTATCAAGTTGAGCAACACGCACCTTTCAGTATCGCTAAAAATAATCCTCTCATTTAACAGAAACTTCTGTTTTAAATCAGTTAACTTCAAATGTCGTTAACTGTAACTTGTGACGCAATGCACGCTTTCACAGTTGCCAAAAACAATTTATTAGAGATTAACTCGTTCCTAACCGCACGGGAGAAGTATTACCGAGCGTCGTATGCCCTGCTCATTTCGCTGTCAGCGATAAAGTCACCCTTCTATAATAATTTGAATTTTTCATTAAGACGTATAATTAATGCACGTACGTAAAGCCGGCTTCATCACCATTTCACCAATCGACAAGATTGATTCATTAGAAAAATGTTGGCAAAAATCGGAAGCATTTCAGCTAAGCATACCGTACAGAAGACATGTTTATTATCTAGTCTACTATACTACAAAATTTATTCTCGAAAGTAACAAAATGAGATAGCTATAACTTACTGGGATAACTAGTCTGATCAAACGGCTGCCAGATACGACAATAATTAGATGTGAATGGATACAGATGGCCTCAGATAACTTATTTAAAACCTTATTAAAAATTTTCTTGAAAATTTGTAGTAACATAATGATGTTGACTGAGTGTCAAAAAAAAAGCTCCACGGACAAAAAGTAGAGAAAAAAAAAAAGTTTTGCATGTTTTGGATAATTTTAAAGAGTGGATTTGTTTCAAAGAAATGCAAAACCCGTGTTTACATAGCTAACATCCATAATGTAGGATCTAGTGTCTGGACGTAAGCAAACAATAGATAGAAAGCTATTGTTAAGTAAATTTACAAAAACCTGCGGCCTTTCCTGGTTGATCAGAATACTCTACGACAGAATTTACGATTATTCAGAAAGATTCTGCTAGCGCCAGCAATGCCTAACCCAGGCCAACATAAGATACTGAAATTTGTGCGGAGGACATTATTTTGTAGAACCCGCAGATACCCAATAGAAGAATAATGATGTGTCTATAGCAAAAGATTAATGCACTTCAATAGCACATATAGGTAGATGCTAATCAACAAAAGGCTTGCGTGATAGCTTTGGCGGAAACGCTAGGCCAAACAAAACTGTGTTTAACGGTGTAGTTGGAAGGTGGATTCAGGAATAAGCATGACTTAATCGGCCACGTTGTGGACTGAGGAACTCTTAGTAATAATATCACTGTTTCAGTAATACTGAACTATATTTTTAAGTGATCTACAGATTTCCAACCAGAGTCGTACAAACGGAGCTTGTCCTTTCGACACTTGCAAAGATTGTGTTAAATTATCTTAAGATCTTATTGGTAGAATCTATAAATTTCCAAGTAATAATAATAATAAAATAGGTGCTGTGAGCGACCCGGCAAAATCAGCTATAGAAAAAACTGAAATTAAAGTGTGTTAACAAAGGCCTCACGAGCCGTTGAGACGGCTGAGCAGGTCCCATGCGATAAAAAGTATTCGTAGATATATCATGGTGAAGGTCATCGAGGGCCTTAAACGCATGAAGAAGTATACCCATAGCCGAGTTGCCACCTACCATAAAAGGTCAGCTGCTTTTAAGCCTAAATCGTACGTTTATACCTGTTAATTAACCTGAAGCCTGACCGAAAGCCGTATGGGTGAGGAGATATGAGGCAGAGTGTTTCTTAATGAGATAGCAATTGCAAAAGGATGTATTGCTCAAAAAGCTTGGAAGGAAGGACGTTAGCTCGATCGGACGACAAATTAGGTATACCCCTTTCGTATATTGATAGGAAAGGCGGATCGTACTTAAGTGAAGGAAGGAAAGTTCAACTATACATGGATAAATTAAAGGTAAACTTTGCGGAAGAGCCCGAAGTAGCACACTCTTCCCTGAATTGTCTGATTAGAGGTGAACTTCTTGGTTTAGCCCCGGGCCGTAACCCTCAAACGACAAGATTTTTATTACTTTTATCAACGTAATAGAAATCTTGCCTATTTTTTGCAACACGTATTTTCCATGCATAATAGCGAAAAAATGACAAGTCTTATTAACTACTCTGTGTCGCTCACAATACTCTTCCCGATATTATTGTTAAAGGTAGCATTCTTTATAACAAATACATTATATTCTGCACTATTATAGGCGAAGCAACGACATCAATCCTCCGGTTGGCAGTACAAGCGCGTAGGCGAGCCCTGGGCCCCTTCCATCCCGGCTTTGACATAAACACACTTCTTTATGATATTTTCTTACGTATTTTGCCAGACAATGCGCATGAACTCTGTTCAGGCCGTTTGCACGTCTCACTTACACGGGTTCGTATGCTACTCAAAGCCTTGCTTATTTTCATTCATTGTTATTATTGTCATATTATATTGCAAGTTAAACTGCGATTGGATGACTTGAGGGAAGCTCCGTGAAGTATTGTTGAGAAAGAACTTTGTTCATTGACCATTTTTCCAACGAGGGGCTAACGAAACAGTTCACTAAATGCGGGAAAAACGCATTAACCATCTTACGGTAAGTCGTTAGGTATAAATTCATGTACGTTTACCCGTATGTATAGTACAGCGGAAGCTATGCTCAAGGTAATTGTATATAGAATACACGAAGCTTACATATTTTGCTATGTTAGATATTAATTCTATTCTACCGATTTGCATGCGCGAATGCTATTTTTGTGGACTACAAATGAAAAAGTCTCTGTAAATTGCACGATATTTAAGTTAAATTGTTGCTCCATTTACTGGACAATTTGCCAAATTAAAGCGACTTATAGGGGTTCTACATGTTCAAAGGCGCAAGAGTAAATTCGGTTCACCGGAACTACGGTGGACGGAGCGGCGTCCCGGAGGACGACGCTTATACCCTAGTATTGCATTCTAACTATTTTGTCATTACTATCGCTACATGTGCCGTAACGTATATCTGTCTATAGCTTCACTTGAAATCTCAAACTTCTTTCTGTATGATAGCAATCTTGTGCGGCTAAATGACGAAGAAACAACGCAACGTTATCCTCCGTACCAATAACGAAGTACCCACATTACCAGAAAGGTGACTGCGATCGACGGGCAACTCCGTCGAAAGACACAAGTTGTTATACAAATATCAGCGTACATACACACACAATCATCGTACGCTCCAGTTGGCGCATCGCCAGAATCTCTACGGCGATAAAGTGAGTGGCTAGTAAACAAGGAACAGCCTTTACGTCGCGGACGCGCCCAGACACACATCATAGACATCATTCGCCGTTGATACGTATCTGCTTTGCATATCGCGGCTCGCTCCGTTCCTTCTCCCGATTCCTCATCTCGTATTATTGACTGACGTACTTAGAGCACAGTCCAGAACGTAGATAGATTCATGCTACCCTTGGACGACGTGCGTTATACGTCAGCGCAGACGTCCTAAGTGTATGTGTGTCTACGCGGGAGTCTGGGGCAAATTGGAAACAGGGGACAAAGTAAAGCAGCAAGGCGGGAAGGGACTTCTTTAAATGTATTGGGGCAAGCATCGGCTGCAGGGCCTTCCGCTTGTCAGCAATCACATCACTGCCGAATCGTTGCAGCTCGTTTCATCTTGTTATGCTTGTCGCTCCTGTGTTTTGACAGCTGGCCAAATACTTCTCTCGACTGCAGCAATAGCTGCATTCGGGAGAATCAAGAGATAGAGCAAAAAAAGACCTGTGCTCTTACCACGGCACGTGACATGCACGTCACGGTCATCCTCACTGACGGCGATCCCATCGTAGGCCGACACGCGGAGAGCTAACTGGATTTATGACAGGACTACTAGACAGGACGGCAACCATATGACCAAGTTGATTCCCAGTCATCTGTAGATACTTGAGACTAACACACAAGGTTAGAATTACTAAAAATTCATTCGGTACTAGTTTTTCTGTATGTTTGCAACTGTTATGACTTATTCAAGACTATTCTATGAGACGGTACTCTGTACCACATGTGTATTTATGCTTACGATATATTAATTTCAATGCGCAGGATTTCTTGATTCGTTAATCGTTGATCGTTGGTGATCCGGGTCCCTGTTTGTGTTCCGCACCATAATTTCAAGCCATACACGTAATATAGTTGGCAGTGTGGAGCAAGTTCGTCGTTACTGGCGTTTATTGTTGTTTCGGCTTTCAATGATCTGTCCGTAGCGCGTTGAAGACTATGAGAAGTCATGATGAAGGCAATCCGATTATTATCATCCCCATTCGCCCGTTGTCTCCCTTTTACTGTTAAAAATTACTCAAAAATAGTGCTATCTAAGTCGCATTACATATCAAATCGAACCATTATGTACGCTGGGTCTGACTGAACAGCGCGTTTATGCGACGTAGTACCAAGAGCCGGCAGAACGAGATCCGTTTAGAAAGGAAGCTGGCGTCTTGGACAAAAAATGTTTCTAATGACGTAAGCAGCTAAGCTCTCTAAGGGAGACCATTACGGGCAAGAGGAGCGTTTGGAAAAACATTAATAGCCGTCTCTATATGTGAGCGTGTGTCAGCAGTGCAAACTGTTACGGAATCATTACGTGGAAGAGACATTGACGCTCAGGTGGTCCCTGTTGTCTGCAATCCCGCGCAGAGTATTACCGCTAGACGAGCGTGCGCTGATGGCGCTGTTGTGTCGTTCCATCTACGTAGGGTCACCCGATGCGTTGCCATAATTCCGGCATGGAACATCCCCATCGATTGGCTTGCTGGCACCTTTTCTGTGTATGTAGCAACGACGCTAGCGGAAGCGCGTTGAAAGGTCACATTGTTCTTATCCCTTGCGTAAACACCACTTTATTAGTCGCTATGTCTTCTCTAAGTGGCCAGTTATATGTCACCTAGAGATCGTTGGTAGTATAATTTGAATCCGTTTGATCTTAACACGTTTGTCTCGTGCTCTGGTTACACGAACTATTGCGGTCAATGTCATACAACTCTATGAAACAACCTTAATCTCACAGGACCGCCAGCGAGTGGCAAGGTCGTTTGAAGCCCTTAATATTTTTGCTTTTTTTTCATAGAACCCTGTTGCTTTTTCGACTTACAGGGCACACGTATCTATTAATCAAATACCTTACATAGGTAAAGTTTATATGCAGTGGCATCTGAAGTGAATATCTGGTGACTGTGCGGTAGAAACATGTTTACCCATCATATTAAAAACACATAAGGATTTCGGGCGAATGTAATTTGAGTATAATTTACGTGGAAAAAAGAGAAAATCGAACCACATTTTACCTGCATCAAAACAGATTCGGGACATTTCGTTAAAGACCTTCTATACGTAAATCCATTACATTATATCGACAACACAATGTAACGGCGTGACTAATAATTGATGACATGATTCCCTTAGAAAAAGTGTCACCTCAAACTTTCCATTTAAAGAGATTTTCGCCCCGATTTACGGATATTACATAGAGTCTTATACGTGCGCAAAAAAACTAGAGTTACAGCCAAATTGTAAGCTTGTCATGAACAAACTTAAGAGAACATCTAGAATTTGCCCAACTGTATGCGTGCTTTTGTTTGACTGTTATTCTCTGATTTAGGTATCGGACGGCGCAAATGTTCTATTAAATCAATTCAGTTCTAAGGAGGAACTGGTCACCGTGCTCATGTGTTCCTGCTTCATCCCGTTCTACTCTGGACTCGTACCACCGAAGGTCAACGGAGTAGTACGTGTCCATTGTCCTGCAGAAGATTGCCAGATCATTTGAAATAGGCTCTAATATATATGCGCTAGATAGATATGGATAATATTATTCAGTAACCGTTTCTCTCGATGAATAATCATAATTTGATGCGTGATGTTATATAGTTTTTGCTTTGACTTATGTTCAACCGATAACCATAAGCCACATCGAAAGTCGTCACCGATGTTCTAGACGTCTTTCATTCATCTTTAAAGGTACGTACGAACAGACCTATACCCATTGTTTGCACTAAGATATGTTATGTGCGATACAATTGTCAAACAAATGAGAGTCGATCACTGGTCAACAGACACCATAAACGCGTCAACTTCTACTACCGCTTTTCCTAGCTCAGTTTCTCTCAAATTATCTACAAGTTCCGCCACAAAAATTTAGACGGTAGTTCCTTAAGAACTGATGCCTGTTTTATTTTTTCTTTTCATCATTTAACTCCGTCATCCAGCGATAATATTGTTATTATAAACGAGATTTGTCAAAGCTTAACTGACAGGTAACCCTAACTATCGTTGTTTTGCCTCAGCCCTATTGTCCCGTTGGTTACAATGTCACTAATAAGCCTAGGTGCTCAATGTTTACCAATAACTGCTAAACCCAAAAAGATCACACGATAGCAATTAGAAAGATCCATCAAAAAAGTGCTGCCAGCACCGAGTTTGACTTCGGGACTGATGACTCGTTTCCAGCTATCAGTTAGAAACGGCCAGGATACGTGTCTCAAGTATTATTACTTTCCCGATAAATTCTGTGCAAATACGTGAAAAATAGGCTATATAGGCTTGTCGATGGATTAACATGAGTCTTTCGTTAAGTTTAGGAAGTTATGTTACAGTCCACCTTGCACAGTTTGAAGACGATTCGAATCGGAACTCTGAGCCTCAAGTCGGGTTATTTTGAGTATTTCACCCAGCTGCTTAGAAAAATGGCTTTCGGAGGACGTTTGTATATATTTTGCTAAACCGAATCATTCCTAAATGAAGGTCAGGCGTTTCTCTATCTGAGAAACGTCTTTTAATTTTAGCTTTCGAGTGAAGCGACCAACATTATGAAATATGCCTCAATTGATTCATCAAGTATGACTGATTGAACTCTTTATTCTTTATCTTCATTCTGAAACGAGATCTCGTATCGATGTTAATTAATAATTAAAATTGATCGACATTGACTTTGCTTGCGTTAGAACTTTTTTGTTTTAATATCCGAGCGACATGGAGCCATGTTTAAAAGTCGAGCGGGCTTGATCATCCGTTATCAACGTATTGAATCAGGTGTATATCTACAGGCTCTCGCAGCTGTCAGTTTTAGTGATCGATTATCGAGAGCAATCATCCGATACGTAAGAGTATACCAACTTTAACGACTTCGTGTTGCATGTATGATTAAAAGCAGATCATTAATCCCGTATGGCTTTTGTTTTCATTTCACAGGCATACATGGATGGCGGATTCAGTGATAATCTACCGTTGCTTAATGAGAATACTATTACGGTTTCACCATTCTCAGGCGAGAATGACATCTGTCCTGAGGACGAAAGTTTCAACTTGATGCTTGTCCACCTGTCAAACACGTCGATTGCAGTTAGTCCTGCAAACTTGTATCGCTTTGTCCGAATCTTGTTTCCGCCGCATCCCGAAATACTTGCGCGGATGACCCAACAAGGTAAGCCAATATGCTAAAATAAAGTCATTGGGTCGAATCCTCATTTATGCTGGGCTGATCCTTTCCTCATGATATTATTACTACACACTCGCAAATAGCGGTATGCTTACCAGAGATTTGAGCAGGAAGTCCTGGATAGCAACAGCGTAATTTCGTTTCCACGTGCCCGACTACAGGAAAATTCTAGTGAAATTCAAATTCTTAGCCAACATATAGTATGGAGTTGGTAAAGCTAACGGGAGCTTCAGCGGAACATGTTCTCCTTTGATCCTTTTTCAGACCGGCTCCCGGAAAGGTGGGCAAAAACAAGTGAATAGAAAACCTAGTACGTACACAGTTTTTGTATCATTGTCTATACTTTTCCGGTGTATAACAAGTGGTTTTAGTTTGCACTGCTAGAAGCGTAAAAGCGTTGCCCAACGCAGTACGTGTAAGAAGGGTCGGTAAGAGTACAATTTGATAAGCAACCCTCTTCTTGGACAGTCCTGTAGTACGCCGGACTATGCCACCAGCTCTAATGTAGAATATTGACTGACGCATGAGCGCCGGGAGCATTGCGGTATCCATCGTGTGAGCATTAAGGAGTGCGATATATTGTCGTTCGAGATTCGAGAATCGCGCCATTCAGACGCTGCTCAGCAAGTCCTGACTAATGCTGCACGGGAATCGGCGTTTACTCGTCTGATTCTATCTGCACAGATGAGATAAGCCCAACAACTGTTTATACAAACAAGAAAACGATTACCAGGTTGCCAATAGTATGACGCCCACATCCCTTAAAGCTAGATCTTGCACTACATTCATCCGCTTTGATAACGCTTGCTAGTACCGCATGCAACCGCCGACGGCGCAGGTAATGCTGAACGTTTCACGTAGATATGATTGAGGTTTGCTGTTATTTTGTATTCCCCATGGGTGAAGTTCTTAATTATATTAAGTTACGATAAGTTTATGCGTGACCTGCTGATACTACTCCAGCAGTATTCCGTGAGAAATTACGTTGTGTGCTAATTTCTTGTTCGTTTAATATTTACATGTTTTTTTAGGCTTTGACGATGCTGTTAAATACCTTCAACGTCACAACCTTATCTCGTGTACCCGCTGCCTTGCCGTGAAGTCGTCGTTTGACATTACGGTAGAAGATGAGGAGGGTGTGGTCGATCCCTCTCAAACAGAATCAACCTCCGATACTTTACGTGTTTTTGCCGATTCGCATCCTTACGACGGCTGTGACGACTGTAAGCTTCAAAAACGAATGGCTGATTTGGCCTCGCTGCCCGAGCCTATTCAGGCCCCAATGCTTGCAGCCGCCGAAAATGAGAATCGTGGAATCGTCAACTGGTTGTTCAAGCACAGGCCTGTTAAGGTGAGGGACCCTGATGAGCTATAACAACATCTGTTTGCAACTATCGCTTCAGCAGCAACACAGCAAATAGGCGCAGAAGTGAGCATTTCGTGATAGATAGCATACGTCCCAAGGCATCCTTGTGTGGTTGTCTATTATTGGCTAAATATACGTATTATACCAACAATATAGTGGGAAATCATGTTTGCTGTGTCATGTTCTATTACTAAAAACAACTAGATCAGGCAAGATAATTCTACACGCCATTCAGTTAAACTAAACCATAAGCTAACGTCTGCTAGGGTTCGAAAGCGCCAAATTGGATAAAAGCTGTAGGCCAATTTGGACGATATAACAACTCCGAAAGCAGCTTTCTTTCAACTAGGACTCTAGCCAGGGGTTTTGTTAAATCAGCTGGCATACAGTTAAGTTAGGCTCAAAAAAAGCTTGAATTGAAACGGCTACCTGTTCTAGTCTTCGTTTAATTCGACTTGTTCTTCTCCATATATTTGGTTGAATAAATTGCAAATGTCTATCAGATAATCGGAATATAAGCAATGATTAAAGACTCTTAGAAGATGTCCTGGATCCTGGAGGATCTGAACTATCAGATTCGTGCATTTCGGCACGATCCTGAGATGATTTATTACATGCGAAACATAGAAGCATTGTTTCTAATTAGTTTTCTTTTGCTACCCATGTTGCTTATCTTGTTGTCTCTAACCTATGGCTGCAGATTTTAGCGTGTTTTCCCTTATAAAGCAGTGTACACAATCAATTTTTACATAGTTTATACTACTAATTGGTACATGCTCTACCATTGCCACCTGTACAGATTTCAACGTATATTATGACATCTAGAGTAGTACCCTTCTAAAAATTCATTCGAAAACCAATAAATACTTCGTTACTTTCTCGCCTAGGTGTTATCGCTACTAACGCTTCCGTATGTACTTCCGTTCGACATCACAATGTCAATTGCTTCAAAATTTTGCAAGCTAATCCCTGTCCTACGACACGAGTTGACCGCAAGTCTCTTTAATGTAATCGACAAACTGCGCGAAATCGCGGTTCCTGAACAGGTCAGCGTCACTGACGAAAAGCCCTATCCACGGCGACGCGTTTCCAAGGTCTCGTTGCCGCCCATTGGTTCTCCTATGGGTGCACGCCCTCCTGCGTCCAACACCTTCTCTTGCCAGCTGGCCATCACTGAATTCAACTACAGTCTCGACGCTACCGCCCGCCCATCAAAGGCACGCTCACGCAGTATGGAGAACCTACAAACTGGATCGAGACCGGCCGTCACCGATATACAGAAACGACGTCAGCGCAAATCCTACGCGGGTGTACCCTACGAGAAACGGGTACTGTCCGAACTGAATCTCGGCTCAAAGCTCTCGCTTTCACAGACGCTCAGCCGTCGTCGCAAGACCAGCGTCATGGACGCGCTACGTTCACTGGATACAGGCCTGCCTTCGGTCAGCTCGGCAATTGATCTAACTAATGACATGCTTGATCACGAGCGCGGCTCGCTTCACCAGTCACAAGCACAGTCTCTTGAACAAATGCTAGATGTAACCCAGAAAAAGGAAGCACTAATGGCATTCTACTACACTGATGAGAATAACCGCATGAATGTCACAGAAATTTTTGACGTATCTGAGAGCACTGAAACACCACAGACAAGTCCAGAGCGGCCGTTATGTAAAGCTGGCTCTGCTGAAGGATCCAGCGCTGCAGGCGGTAACGGTGGAAATGGTCGGCAAAGGCGAATGCCAGTGTACTAGCTAGTTTTCGCCGATACTAAGAGTGCGTCGACGGAGGTCGATGTTCAGGGCTGAACCAGCGAGTAGCATAAGAAAAGTAACTGAGTGATAATTTTATTTATATAAGGCGAAAATAAATGCGAGAAGTGTACGCGAACATATCGAATTTGTAGGTGAGGAAGTAAGTGACGACTGCTTTGTGTTTATGGATCGGAATACTTCCCCTACACACATATATATATATATATATATATATATATATATATATATAGACTATAGATTTTGTGTATATATAAACAATATTACTCGGATTGAGTCTGAATCGTACAACTTTGGATAATGTGAGGAACCGTTTCCATGTTGTGATGACTTCCGTTCTGAAAAATATGAGGTAACTGAATTATTAACAGGGTCTTCAGAGACAAACGTTAGATAGACATTAAAGTTTTCACACGAATCCTAGAAATTTTACTATCATATATTATATGTGAGACAAAATCGTATAAATGTACATACGATCTTTTGCCGTATAAAGCGTTTCAACGACGACCAGCTAAAACGTGGTGCACGACTAAAAAGAGTAAATAATAAATCAATACGCTGTTGTCGAAAACTAACAAGGCAAACAATTAATATTCTCAACGGTTATGCGAAAATGAGCCACACCCGAAAAGAAGTTGTGATGTTACTTAGGCAATATACCGTATAATAAATAAAGCGTTAATTTATTGCACTGCAGTGAAATAACAGCTTCTCGTGACATAAACATTCGTAAGTGGCGGCAACTGATAAGGCAGGTACCTACGTAGAAAATAATACGTTAATGGTAAATAGAGACTGCAACAGGTTTTTTTCGTACGATTCGATCCCAGCATAAAGACAAAATTTTGCACACATCATCACTGTGATATCTTGGTTTGATTGGAAAAAGGCTAGCGTATTCTCATGATTAGGCACATACCGGCACTAGATGAGTATTACGTTAATATAAGAGCCGAAGAGTAAACCTTCAAAAGGTTACCAAAAAGAATAAACGGGAATAAATTAAGAAAAAAAAAAAACAGTTTATTTGAGTTTGCTTGTAACAACTTCATTTCCTACAATCAACGTCACTCTAGTTTTTTTTCCATATCGCTGTGTCGAGCGAGTGTGTTCTACTTACGGTAGTGGCAAAGTGCTAAGAGTAATTATAATAATAACCCTTGTACAAACAATATTAATTGTATTATTATAATCTGGACAATAAATAGTTTTTTTTTCTATACAACGCTGTGTATATATATGTATGTATGTATGTATGTATGTATGTATCGACGTCACTCTCATCCTTATTACTACTTTCATGGCAAAAATAGAATCTACACGACCAGCCAGAGAGGCACGTTTTGAGCAGAGCAGAACAGAATACGTACGTTATACACACACGCAGGTGGATGGACACGCCCAGGCACATGGCGTAAGGGTCCACTCATTATCAGCTACAACAAGGACACACAGACTTAAGCAAGCTTCGCTACACGTATGGGGAAATAGCTCGTGTAGACCAGCCTTATGTAACAGACTCGCAAACCTACCTCGCGTTCCGTATTAGCGCCCGTCAAAAATTATCACATGAATTTTTGTTTTTTTTCTGTATGACAAAACAGCGCAAGATATCGAGCGTTACGTTGAACTATAATTCCGTACTGTCTGATAGCATTAGTACTACGTCTTATATACACAAACATTTTACATAACCAGAACCAGAAGAATAGATGAATTAGTCTCCCGTCCGGTGCTGTTGAAAGTAGAAAAAAACTATGCACTATGCAATATTGTTAGCAAGGAAACGCAACGTATGAAGCTTGTCCAATAGTTTTTACACATTTACACACTACAGGTAAATAATAAGCTTTTTCATATACATATACTTAATTATACAAAAAGATTGTTCTTACGATGTAACCAGAGGAAGCAGCTCTTCTGTTCATTCACATTGTCGCTATTGTCTAAATCAGTATAATTGGAAAATTTTCCCCGTTTAGATTCAATGTTGTCAGCGATCTTCTGCCACCCATTTCGACACACGTACTTCTCCGCATGCTCTAACGCCTGCAGCTTACAAGACTGAGTTGTAGACTGTTCCATATAATTCCAGATTTCCTTGTTCGTCGATCGAAGCTAAAGTGTTGTCGATCTGTTGTTTCTTTACGGGTTTAGCTAGCAGTCTTGATAGCGCTGGTTGTGTCCACTGCTTACAATCACACCGTGCCATTGGTAATTTCATAAAATGGCGGACAAAACGTCAAACTACTGTCTGTTTGTAATATACAACTGACCATGCTAGTACATCTATGTTAACAAAAACGTATGTGCCCCTCTGAGCCGCGTCGGCTACTTTCGTCTAGAAAAATCTTGCTATTTCCTGCCAGACGTTAACGGCTTTTGTCAAGCGCATCGGCCAGACGCGCAAAAATCAGGATTGAATATTGTTGCTTTATTGCTTCCTCTCTCGTACTCGCTTGGCCCCATATATTAAATAATAATTGTAGGAAAATCGATGGTTTTGATAGCTCTATTCTCCACATATATACATATTGGAACTATTTCACATCCGACAAGCGGGCCAGTCTTGCTTGCGTACATGTTTACTATAACTTTAATCTATAAATGTTAAAAGAGACAAGTTGTCGACGACGAGTTTTTCTGCCTTTTACAGTGAACAACTCAGATGAATAATATTAGTGAATACTTCGCGTTCATTTAACAAAGAATTAACAAAACTGTTATACGACTGATCGAATATGTGACAAAATACCCTTTTGTTACTTTTCCACAAACAAGCGAGGGAAAAAGCGTTCGGTCGTTTCCTCCATTTGCGGCGCATTTCTAACTCGAAAGATTGACACCTCTTGCGCATCACAATACAGATAGTACGTTTTTAACCTTTTCATATTTAGGACGTCTCGATCCTTAAGCAATCATACAACCTTTACGTAGCTCTCCATCATCGAGAGAAGCGTCCGTAATCATCAAATATTAAAATTTTGTAGTTTGAATCCGATCGATCCTAATACAGCCGGACTGTCAGTGATTCCTTATTCGTAACAAACGACTAGGCTGAAATGGTAGGATTTAAAGTGAGACGGAAATTTTCGTCGTATAAAGATGGTGCACGCTTGCGTGCTAGATATAGCGTAGTAGTTCTCCCCGAACGTGTGCAGGTAAATTATTTGTTTCCCTTCAAACTCAACTGTTATGCGTTCGTTTCCCTAATCGTATTTCTATCCACCTAATTTTATCGTAATAAGATAAACTAGACAAGCACGATAATTAGTGAATCGGGTAACGTACAACGAACGACATCGCAACAACTTCTATACGTACAGTCTTTCTACTTATATATTCTATTTATAATCCATATGCGTTATCATCAGTAAGTTAGTCGTTCGACGATATACGGCTTTTCATTCTATATCTCAACCTCATTTGTAGATAATGGCTACTGAGCACTCGTTGTTGCTATTGTTGTGCCAGCAACAAAACGTTCGTCGTAAAAAAAACGCTACACATTTCCTGGGAACAACACATTCCGTCTATACAGATTCTTTCATTCGATATCTGGGAACATTAAAGATTCCAGCGGGGATCGAATCAGCTGGGGAAAATGTACGCGTTAGCTAACACTAGCCTAAATCCGATGTGTGTATCGCAGAGCTCTTACTAGTGACGAAATGGAGAATTTAATGTTAAATCGTCGATTTCCATAAGGACTACAAAGGGGAAATATGTAATAAGTTTTCTCACATGGTACAAGCAGGTCCTGCTCTAATCTCTTGCTGACTAGACTAGTACAATTGCTCTATAAATTGTTTACTCGTACAAGAAGCACCCGTTCGTCAGAGCGATTCCTTGTGGTACCGTTCGCTATATATAATCGAACCATATATATATATATATTTTATTAACTTTTTGTAACTATTTAACTGCAAATTACCAGATCGTATATATTGTAGAGTTAATGTATATGATAGACAGAATGTGTAATTTTATATGCATAAATACTACTGCGTTCGTCCGAAAGGGATGACGGTAGAATGACAGTGGAGTTCTGCTGTCGTCTGAATGTGTGCTGGGCTTTTTTGTTTCTCCTGTTCCGTAGTAAATGTTTGTCGATCCTAAGATGGTCTGAGACAAGTAACGTTTCCGAACCCTGAATTTCACAGTTTGACAGCTGTGCCTTTTCAGTGAGTGTACCGCAATATCGTGAACACACTCAGTAGAAACTATCGAACACACAAACGATTATTACATGGACGATCCAACAAACAAGTAGAAGCGATAAATTTGAAATAGATTAACATTGGAGTTGATCATTGCCCCCAACACGGTGATTCACCCTGTCGGCCCGATTAGCCTCCATTGTTCGTGATAAAGTCGCTAGATTTTATCTTCATTATTTGTTTGTCCTTTTCTGTGTTAACGAACTACGCTTAGTTGTACCGCCAGGCCGAAACTAGGCGCGAGAAATGAACGGTTTTAAGTGTCTAACCGAAAAGTTCCAAAAGCCCAAATGTTTCTCAGACATTTGTCCCAAATGAACTTCTACCGCTTTACCGCTCAAAATCTCGAGCAAGTAATTACATCTGCATATGGATATCGAAACTGTGCGGCTGTGCATTGGTCCAATCGGCCATAATAACATCTTCGCATAGTAGGCCCTGCATATCACTATATAGTGAGATAGCTGGCGGGTGATGACTGAGCGGCTGGCTAAATCCTGCCCCTGATAGTGCATTGTTATTATTGCTATTGTGAATGCTGCTAGCGGCCTTGTGGTCAGTCAGTGTACAGTTATTCGTATTGCTAAACGACAACAATGGGTCGTTTAAGGACAATGAAGGGGTGATTTCAGGCGTTCGTAGACTATCCGAAGAACTATGCGTCGGTTCATTATGAACTAGCGCTTGGTTAGGGACCGATGTGGTAATCAATAGTGCTGATGTCGAATTGTTACCATCGCTAGGCAACTGATCGGTCGGACGTGTATCGCCCGTGGTCGATTGTTTGGTTTGAAAAAGCTCGTTTGACCACCAATCTAGATCTTGTCCAAAGTCTGTAGACATATGTTCTGGTTCGAGGGAGCTGGAATTAAATAATGGTGAAGTGCTTGTCAGTGGGGATTTATAATAAGATACTACTAGATGACTGTGCATATTAACTTTTAAGTTTTTATTAATTAGTATTATTAATAAACGATAGTTTTCATTCGTACTGGATGTACGTCTTGCATGAGCATATGTAACAATAAACAGTTAAAAGCTTTATGCAAAATAGGTATGATTATGTCATCTAAAGTTTAAATTTTATGTTTACTTAAGGTTAACCGGTTCAGACAACTGGCTAGCAGTTCACTTATAGCAGAAATCTACAAGCAGAACAATATGTCATGTCGCACATCGCTTTGGAACACAATAGATTTAACATGACCGTTTTTCCAGGTGAAAAAATAGGTAGTACGTACAAATTTTTGAAGAGATGCTGATTTGAATGCTTATTATTGTTGTCCTGATGGATTATGTCGAAGTTGATGTCCAACGTTTCGAGAGCATCGAGGTCAACATTAAAATCGAGTGCCTTGTCTTCGTGAGCTCGCACCTGTGGGTCCCCTTTGCAGCTATCGACTGATGTAGTTTCTATTGCCCCTTGGACGTTTTGCAGGCTCTGCTTGCTTTTTACTAGTGTACTTAACGTTCCTGTACAATTAAGAGACAAGCAACAGTTATATCGAAGTTCTACCATGCCACTGAATCAGATTTAGTAGAATAACTTATGTACGCAACGGATTACAATGCAGTCAGCTCTTCCTCTGGCAATAAAGTTAATCTATTTGTATCTTAGCAAGCTATAATTTTAACTCCAGGACACGTATGGACATTGGGTCCGAAATAGTCTGTTTGTTACCTTTGAAAGACTGGGTGCTCTGACTGTTATCGTCACTTGTTCTCGCATTCGGCACAGATGGTAACGATTCAGCGTGATCTTGAACGCCACGGGTTTGAGCCATCACAAGATTTGACTTAAGGACAGTTGTCTGCAGCTTTTCACTATTCAAGCTGATTCCAACTTGTCTCTCAGTGGCAGATTTTTGTTCCAGTGGTTTCAACATGTCTTGACTTGCGACAGCGATGGGTACTGATAAACCCTCGATCACAACTGGTGCCTTTATATCTGGCGTCACAATATGAGATGTTTTTGGAGTATCGGCAGTCGCTTCCTTGAGCATGATCACACCGGTGTCAGGGTTTCGAGTGACCTCAAACTGTGCGGGTTGCTCCTGTTTAGAGATAATTTCAAAGATATCGTTCAGGTTCATATCACATGACTCCTTGGTGCTTTGCTGTTGCTGCTGATGTTCCTGAATCTGTCGAGTCATTTCAGTGTATTCTGGAGGTGGCTTTCTAGGCAGTACATCCATATGACAAGGTAACGAATGGGTTCTCGTATGACTTCGAGCCCCGTCCTGGCTTGAACTGGGTTTGCGTTCAACGGACGTGTTCTTGAGCACCGGTGATGCCGGACCAGCTGAAATCGATGTGTTGGCGCCGACCGAGCTAGCTACAATGGAAGCCGGCTATTGACAAATGGTAAGCAATTAGTAAATGAAATAAGTGGTACGTAAAGTTCTACTGCTGGAAAACTACAGATAAACTACTACATGAATAACTCTTTAGTTTTCCAATATGAATAGTGAGCAATAATATTATTTTACTTAGATAATCACCAGTGCATTAATTTACGGATAGCTATAGGTTGACTTCCTACCTGAGGTAGAATTTTATGCTGCAATAGCTGTTTTGGTAAGGTGGACAATTTTAGCTGGCCAGTCGTTAAAGGCTGAGGTTGTTGTTGTTGTTGCTGCTGCAGGTGTTGACCTGAAGGCTGTACCTTGACATGAACCGGCTGAACTTTGCCCGCCTGTACTGCCTGTTTAGACCCGCTCACCTGTTTTACCTGTACACCTCCGTTATGCTGAACCTGTATCGGCTGCAGCTGCCCCATAGGCTTTGTCAACTGACCGATCACGTGAGACGCCCCAAGTGAAGGGGTGGCAACTGTCGTTGGGACGACATGTTTCACTTGAATGTGCTGTGGCGACATTTTCTGAAGAGTGGTTGCCGAAGTTTCACCAGAAGAACTAGCTACTTGACTGACGATGGCAATATTTGGTGAGCCGGCTAAGCCGGATACGTTGAGCATGCCCCCGTCCACGCAATGGGCGGCATCAGATGACTTTGTTACTTGTAGTGCAACCAATTGCGGTTTGGCATGAATTATTTGCACGCCTGGCTGGCACAGTACCCGGTTTACTTGAATTGTCTGGTCCTTACCACTATAAGGCACACGAAGCGAAACGAAAACTAGAAATACATTATTGTTTACATATGTACAGCCCGTTTGCTGCAAAGGTTTTCACGTGTAGGTATTATAGGCTAAAAGTTACTTATAGTCTGTTAAAAGCAATTTGACTTTACGAAAAGCTGTTATATGGTTAACATGGAAAATTGTTTGTACAACAATTTTCCATGCCTTAGTCCCGTCAGGAATCGGTCTCAGCGCAAACAACGCTATGGTCAAAGGCTGCCGTTTTTACGGCGGTAGAACATATGGATTGAGATATACTAAAACACTTGAAATGAACATACACACCTGCCATCAGTGATTGTGATCACGTTGGCCTGTTGTTGCTGGCTCGTGGTCGTCGCCGGCATCTGCTGATGAAGCTGCTGCTGCTGCTGTTGTTGTTGTTGTTGCAGAAGGGTTTGTATTCGTTGTTTTTCAAGCAGCTCTTTATGGAGGATGTCCATTTTTGCCAACACGCTATCGTGTTCTCCGACCGTCGGCGTTGACACATCGTCAATCATCGTATCACTTGATGTAGTCACAGAGTTGGGAATATTAACAGGACAGATACATTGGTTAGGTCATGACTTTCGTTTTCAAAAGTGTTTGACCCTGTTTAATGCTATACCAAGCCTTGACGGCGCGTCAAAATGGAGATTTTTCCCTTTGCCTGTACGATGTACCTGAGCGATGATTCACCCAATTTTTTCTGCATCTTCTACTGCCTGTCATTCTTAACTATTGTGTTCGCTTAATAGAATCATTTTTTTCAATACTTACGGCTTCCATTTAAGACCTAACCAATTAGCAAAATATCGTTTAATAGTAACTGTGCGCCCGGCGATATTCGTCGGTATAAAGCCGTTAACGTAATAAAATCTTGAGCTAATGGCAGACCCAAACTATCAAAAATCTTAAGAGTCAACTACGGAAATGACAAAAATATGTAAAAATGTGCAGAAAAAAGCTTATCTTAATGGTGATTCATATTCGCTTCGGTAAAATTCTTTATAAAAATATTCAAGTATTTTAAAAAAAATTGCTTTTTTTTTGAGCAAAAAATGAATTTTTAAGCTTCTACAAAGACACTTCCTGCTATGCCCCATAGAAATATTGCAGGAAGATTGCTACCATGCTCACCAGTTGTTGATATTGCTGTGGTTGCTACTGGCACACTCGATAGATGAAGGCGTTCCCGGTTTTGTTGACGCGATCTGGTCGGAGAAAGGTTTTAGCCTTTCAATCAGCTGTGGCTTTGATCCCGAAACGGTAAGGTTACGTTTTTTTAGTTCAAGCTTGAGGTCCGATACTGGCATGATGGCACAAGAAAAATATGGCATTATTTGTTAGCATGTTTACCATATAAAGTCAAGAGATTGTCGGATAACTCTATCACTTGTTTACTGTTTTATGTTTACACGTCTAACGGTATAATATCTAAACATTTAATAACGTGTATCGCTTAACAATATAAGCTGTCACCTTACAAGCTACTTGACGAGTCCTTAATCGTAGTAGTAATTATTTATTTATTTATTTATTATATTTAGTATTATTATTAGTAATGTATTATTATATTTAGTAAGTAATTATTATAATATATTTATTAACATATTCGAGAGACCGCACCGATGTGTATGTACTCTGATGGATAACAACTACGCGAAGGTGTCCTGTGTATAACTTCGAAAGCAGTTCAAACCTGTTTGGGGGTTTTGAGTTTGCATTCAATATGTGCTCATGTGCACACCACCTGTACACACCTTTCATGTCCTCAAGCTTGGCGCATTTTAACTTATAGGCGTCACTGTTAATCGGAGCGCCAGTCTGAAAGGAACTACTCGGTGCTGGCAGGATCATTTTTTGCTTCGATCCATTTCCGGGAGCATGGTCCATTTGCCACTGAAGAAAAACTCTTTGTTGTTGCAGAAGCAACTCGTAAGATGTTTCCTTTTTCTCCTTCATCTCTTTGTCCTTCATTGCCGACGGGGGTCCCTGTAAAACACGAAACAAGTGTTAACAGAAGAGCTTGGCTAATGTGCATTCTAGTAAGGAAATCGAAATTAAACCATATGTTTAAGTCGAGGTATTTCAAACGCGGACTAGATTTGAAACATAACGAAATAAGTTGTGCAGCTCTTATTCCTAAGAGTTCAGCCATCAGACGCGCTTTTAGCGTCCAGGAGCGAACCTTGTATTCGTGGAACTTGATTATACGATTCTTATTGGGTTGCTGCGAAGGTGTCGTTTGGGCGGCTTTGCCAGAGGAAGAAGATTTTTTCTTCGATCCTGTTGGAACCGGCGTAGTTGCCGTCTGACTAGATACGAGCGTTACGGGCGTTGGCAGAGATCGCTGTTTGATAAGCGTCGGCCCACTGTTGCCAACTGCGGCCGGTGTTCTGGTAGGATTCGTGGCCAGCGTAAAGTAGACTGGTGTTGAGGGAATCGCTGCAGGCGACTGTGAAAGTGTTTTTACAACGGCTTGTCCGGCCGCGCCGTTCTCTGTCTGGGTGCAGACAATCACGGAATGACCATCTCCGTCGGTTGTTGTTAAGAGAAGTGTGGTTGGAGTCGTATGTGTAGCAGTCGCGCCCACGACGGCGTTAGCTAGGTTCATTGCTTCCAGTCGAGGTGTATGCATGCTAGTTGTACCAGTGGGAGTCGTCGTACTGGAGTTCGCAATAACCGACGAAACGGTGGGCGTAACAAGTGAAGCCGAGGTGCTCACTTGTAGGGGTGTTGGGGCGCCCTGAGGGGGTGAACCATCCCGGGAGCCAGCACCACCATCACCACTTCCCTGCTGGGAGTCGTCACTACCTGATTCTGAGATCGGCTCGGTGGGCGTGACGATGTCGCCTTCGCATGTCCGTTTGAATGGGATAGTCCCCTCTGTAAAGACAATAAAGAAAAGCGTAATCTATAGGTTACTTCCTTCTTATTTGCGTGAACGACATAAAATATATTAATTAAGCATTTTTTCCTAATGATCTTCTCATTCATTGCGATGTAACCCATCATCATCATAACATAAAATGGTATTCTACTAGTAATTAGTATTTAGATTTTTATAGGTGATAATCATTAAAGTCGGTACAATAAACGTTAAATATCTCAGACCTTTGATTGCTTGAGCGAAAGTCTCGTCTGCTTGTAAGATGTTGCCTCGAATGAGTTCGAGAGGCCCGGGACGATGTGCCAAACGGTCATTAAGGTCGTCCTTTAGACGCGCTCTTTTCAATCTCCTCTGCTTGTCTTGAAGTGAAGGATCAAGTTTTGCTGAAGTGTCTTCAAGGATGTGCGCTCGAATTAAAGTGTCACGATCTGGCCGATGCTGCATCTTATTCTTGAGGAAGTCGCCCATCTTAGCCCGTTCGAGTCTTTGCTTCTGTTCTAGAAATTGCGGGGAGGCCTTTAATGCTGCGGGTAACCGAGAAAGCATTGAATACACAATTAGAAGAGGTCACTTATAAGAGAGAAAAAAAAAAGGAACTTGTAGAAGATATAACAGCATTTGTAGAAACAGCATTCGGTTGGAATGTCTCATGTTCGTCAGTCGCGAGTTCTGTTAGTTTCACGGTATACTCACGATGAGCGAATACAAGTAATTTCGTCAGTGATAATCCTGCACTACGGTACTCGGACAGCACTTCATTCCATGCTTAGCAGAGCCCGTATTGCAGGCAATCGGATAAGAGGATGGTAATTACAATACAGTGCACAGTTTGTCCCATTTCCCGAAACAAACCGTATAGGTTTATATGGTTTGTGTTGACCTTCGGAATAAATACTGACCAATGTACTCACGAGGGATTATTCCCTGCTGGACAAGCTGATGAATTGGTCTTCTGGTCAGAAGCTTCACCTTGAGCTTCTCCCGGTTTCGTGCCAATGTTTCATGGAGGGACCGCTCATCAACGGGGGGGGACCCGAGCGAGTCATCATCTTGTATTCCGGAAGGTCCTGTTAGCAGGCCACTTGTTGAAGATCCCTGTGGTGGTGAGTCCCGGTCTCTAAATGCAGAACACCCTGGCTGAGGAGAATTGACCACCTCCATCGGGGCTGCCGGTGAAGGCGCTGAAGAACAATCATTAGAGGGAAAGTTGCATAATGTAGTAGCCTATAGAAAATGAAAGCTAGCAAGAACTGCAGCGCACAACGTTCTTAGCAAACTTTCTTCTGATAACGTCCTTGGTCCTAGGCAGATTTAATAATAATGATAATCGATATTAAAAGTGAGCGAATGTCGCGAACAAAAATATGCTCTTTCTGTTAGAGAACGCCCTTCAATTTATAAATTTATTGAGAACTAATAAATCGAAGGCTAAGAAATGTAACGTAAAACTTCGACAGTGGTCCAAATTTCTCATTAGCAGCAGCCAGACTGACATGACTATGAAACTAGGTATCTTACATCGGAAAGAGTTATTCAGTTTTCATGTACAGTATACATAGTACAATTGAAAACATAGCAATTTAATTGTTTGTCCAATTTATGCTATATTCAGTGTAACGACGATGAACAATTAAATCTGTGTTTTTTTACGTACGTTTCTATGTATACGCACGATAGTTTAATGCAAATCTAGCCATCAATCGAATTACTCGGGTAATTTCACATGGCGGCTTGAAGACAAAGCCTGTAGAGCGCTGCCATAGAATTGAGAACGAAATGTTGATCGGATTTATACTTGTATATACAACTCCTAGTGATGTTACCTTCAAAATGCATACACAAGGAGGACGTAAAAGCAATTATATTAGCCGCTTGCAGGCGTTTACTAATTCTGTGTCTTTACACCCGATAAGATCCGGCTAGTGGTCCGATCATCGTTTCTGTGCACTTTCGCAGGCAGCTGTTAATGATAATTTAGCTTGTGATAATCAAGCTAAATGTATTTCTCTTTTAGATTAAAAGTTTGTTGGCAGTTTGTTATTTGAAACGAAAGTGTTTTTATTTGACAGTATCGTGACGCGTCCGTTTAAGGCCACCATACACCTAAACAATATCACTCTTTTTTAACTAATCCTAAAGAGGAATAACTTGAATGAATATCTTATTTAATTTAGTGAAGTCTCTAAAATTAAACAACGTCCAGTGTGCAGAGTTGATCACACTAGCTAATTTTGACCCTGAACTTTGTGCCGAGTTTTTGTAGCGGTGAAAAGTTCCGTTGTTCTCGTCAGAGTACGCTAACCTATTTGAATAATAGTCATAACAAGGCACTGCAATGTAATTAAAATATGTCTCATTTATTCATTCGTTGGCCCATAGACCATCGACGACTTAAATCATTGTGTGAGTAAAATCTAATTAGATATAATTAACCTCGATAACGATTTTGTTCGCCCTCGCTTCGATTCAATTTTGAAACGAAGATCAACAATCACTGTACAAGAAGTAAGAGCGAACGCTGGCCTCCATTGCTTTTGAATGAAATACTAGGGTTAATCATAGGCGGTACCGCGTTGAGCACTAAGCTAGATGTTTTAATACACCGTATAACAATCAGGCATCCTCTATTAAGCTACTACATCATTGCAACCACGCAGAAACTAACTACACTGACCCAGTATCAGTCTCCTATATATGGGTTTCAATGAATAGATGATTAGCTTGAAGATAGCGTAGAGAAGACGTGTTTGTGTATTGCCATAAGATGGCATAACCCACCCCGCCGGTGCAAACAACTTGAATGTGATCTTTATATATATGGGGATGTAAAGGTAACGGTACGATCGAATCAGCCCTCAGGGCTTTGTATTTGTAATGAAAGGTATACTGGAGTGATCGAACGGCAGATTTGAAATAGACAGTATGAAGCGAACTCGCATCAACCCTTAATCGGAGCCGATTGTCAGCAAGTAGGCATGTCAGACCCAAACAAATCTGACGTCAATGATGGAAAATGGAAATGCTCAACTAATCACTCACCCTGAAGGCAGCTCGCGTCCATTGGAGTCGCAGGCTGAGAATCCATTTAATCTGCTGGATCCAGGTAGATGTAGCTCGATTTTCAACCTGCGCAAAAGCTTCACTTCAACCTGAAATATGCAATACAGGCACTGTCACTACACGATCGCCTGTTCGGAGATTATCCCCCATTTCTTTGCCATTGCTGAGGTCAGAAGGTAGTAGATTATGTGGCAAGGGATTCTCACCTATGTTTGGGTTCTTTTTCCAACTATGTAGAAAAGGTAAATTTAGCTAATACTTGTCATATTTAATTGTGGTTTTGTGTTAGCCTCTCGACTAGTAAATAGGCACTCGCATAAAAGTAGTAGTAGTAGTAGTAGTATATGTTAGCAAACTACAAACCAATTCTGACGGTGGTAAATGGGCAGAGTAGCGACTATCGGCGTCGAAAACCAATATAATGTTAGTCAAGCTAGCCTTCGCTCGGATTACATTATGCGCCAGTTAACTGCTATGTTTAATATCAGTCATAGGTCGTCGCTGGATAGCATAGAATAGGATAGATGCTCTGATGGGCGACTCTTAACTCGTGCAAATCACGTACACACAATTTAATCCCGAACAGATATGAGCAACGTAACAGGTCTCTGTATCTTACATTATAGCATTGCTTTTTGTCGTTCGTTCGTGTTCTGCACACCCTTTCGACAGTCCACACAGCAGTCCAGCGGACACTTACGAGTAGAAAGAATCACTAGTTAAAGCAGAAGATTTTAGCGACGAATAACATAACAGTACCAGCGGGATGGCTTCCGTCTTCAAGGAAAACTGTTGCGGAATAGACAATGCCGAGGGAACAAAACGACCGTAAAGCAAGCAACAATGGCAGCAGGAGGAACCGCACAATATACAGTCAAGCCTTTGCAACCAAGAAGCACTACTCCCCTGAAGCGAAAGCCGGCCCTCGTACGTGGTAATCGCGTTACGACGCTCAGAATTAAGATTCATAAAATGCGTCTGCGACACGTGGCGATTACCGTCAACTTGAGCTGTTACTTTGACGCGAAGTGGAACGAACGTCGACATCGAGGCTCCCAAAGCAAGTCGCCTTCAGCAAACGGTGAGAACGAAACGAAAAGAGAACAAAGCGGAAAAATACCAGCAGTGAATTGCTTTCATTAATAGATATACGTTCGAGGTGGGAGGCTACCGACCATTGGACGCCGCTATGAACCGCCTTAAACTCCAGTGCATATACACGTTATTAGTTCGTTAGATTGCTTGATGGCGATAAGGCTGTTCTACGGCTGTCCTGCTAGCTCAGAAAGGATGCGGCGGCGGCAATAAAAGAGATAAGGCACTCCGTTCTATCGCAACGCCGAAAAAAGGACGATGCCTCAATTATACCGAATGGAACATTGAATTTATTATAGTTTTCTCACAACGGATACGTCTGTGCGTTGTAGACAACATGGGCGAAATTACACGGAGACGATGCCGACAGCAGAGGTACCACCCAGCTATAACGCTTATGCAGATATTATAGAAGTATGAATAGTCAGGGTGCTTTGGTGTTCTAAATTTGGGTTAAATTGGGTGGTCAGTCCTTTCGATTGTTATTCTACTTTGCTTATAAGAAAGTTGATGAGCATCAAAATCATCTGCGAACAACAGCGGGCGGCACGTGATATGTTTGTTTCAAGCCGCTTCTAGACACTACTGTATCACTAAATAGAGGTGGTAAGTTAACGATGCTAAGTAACGTTGTTAAGAAGTGAGCTATGGTGGTCAAGGATTTAGTGAATTAAAGTAGTACTTCGTCCCATCTACGAACACCACCTAAACATTCCAAATGTCGTTGCAAACTAAAAAGAACAATGTAATTAATTCACCAGTCGTTGTGCTTCGTCCTACTCGATGATGTCGAGTAGTGTTGATGAGGTTTTCCGAGTAGGTACAAAATCGGCCTAAAATCGATGTTTCCAGAATTACATATCTGGACCTACATTAGCATCGTATGAGGTGGCCAACCATCAGTTCAAGACAAGCATACCTTTTCCAAAATTCACACGTCCCTAAATACGGTTAACAGACTTGTCGTGATTAAGCCGTTGAGGATAGCATTTATCTCACCAGTACACGACGAAACCACGGCACAAAATTTCCGCACGTGTCCCCTTGCCGCTGTTGGCAGCATTATTGGTCAAACTATTTGTTCACGCTTCTACGTGCAGAATTCTATTCGCTTCTTATAACATTTGTAACGTCGCGCGTTTAAGGCTCTTTCCCCACAGATATCTTCTCCTGAAAATATATTTTCGTATATAAGTTCATATGTTTTATGCTATTCACGTACAGACTCTAAGTGAGCTTCGGTACCTTCTTGCTTCCGACTTACTTTTCACAAATGCTTACTTTCGGAGTATTGCATATGAGAATCTCTACATTTAGAAAATGCTTTGTACAGATGTCCGGATTCTAACACGCAACCGATTCGAAGTTCGCCCAAGATACCAGCTTGCTTCTGCCGAGGCGATCATCGCAAGGACACGTATTCAACCTGCCAACTTTTACTTCTGCGGACTCCTTGCAGACGGCAGCTTTCAGTGATCACCGGACGGAACGACACCAAGCAACCGTCAGTCTGATTTATGGTCAATCTATTAATTGACAGATCTAATACCGCTTACCGTGATTAATCAATGGAAATAACTTAATTCACATAATGACATACTCAGTGTTCCTAAAACGAATAGCAACGCGGTCAAATTTGAACTGAAAAAAATAGTATGTACGTCAAGGCAGGTATATTGTACTGTGCTCGCAAACACACTACAACATCTGTAAATTAGATTGTAGTAATGAATGAACGATAATCGTACTTATTACATTCTTTTTTTTTGTTTTTGCTTGCGGCCAGACGTAAAAATCTCTCCAGATAATAAAAACATCATTCACACGCGCTACTGAGTGAGTATGGTACACAACTAGAGATATACCGATGTACGAATACCGTGAATCATGCATGAAGAAACTATTATGAAACTGCATAACCGAATCCATTATGCCTGTTTTCATCGTAGGCTCTCCCCACAGCAGCAAACAACCATAATAATATTATTGCTACCATGACGACGATCGTTTGAATGAAGAATTTTCTTTTTATGTACCGGACATTTATTTCTGTCAGCTTTCTTATTTTGGCTAATATATAAATCGAAGATTATTTTACTTAGTTATCGAAGGTAGTTAAGCTTGCCCTTCTAAGCGCCGTACCGCATCATTCAGCAGTTCAAAGTCAACTGTGATCGAACAGCCGAGAGGCAACATGAAAGTACATACTGTAACCTTTTTAACGACTCGATTTAATCGGTTATTTTTTTTAATAAAGACAGTAATCGAAACTATCCGCATCCTTTAGCATTCGACTTAATTAATAATAATAAAACTTACACCTTTTCAGAAACAAAGTTTGCTCCAAGTTATCTCTTATTGTCTTCTCTACTTAACCTGTAGAATACCCTAACTTTCGCTCAAAACATTCTCTAGCAGAAAACACTTTAAGCTTGTTGAGCTTCTAAAGATAGCGGTGATCAAAGGCGTGTACCAACTGGGATAAATGCTTTCTGTTCTAATGTCAAGGAACATACATTACAATAAACAACAAATAGGAGTTTATGAGATGCCGCAATTAAAATGGTGTGTCCTGGCGAAGGCGGCAAAAAATAATTTTTAGCTTTACGAGCAGGTGCATTTCGGCAAGCGTTTAATAGACACTAGAATGATAGAAGAATGATTTTTAAGGTGTTTCTAAATGATGCAATATAATCTTTGGAGCGGTTAAACAAATATTTGAGGTGGATAATATTTTTTTCGCCTCACTTGAGCTCTTTAAAAATAGGACATTAATATAACCAAAGCTATGGCTTGACGACTATTTTCTTTGCTTCTTCAGTAGTGGTATGTATGACTTAGAGGTTAAATGCATAACTTAACTCGTCATGCATTCGATGTACATATGAGGTGGACCAGGTTCGAAACCCAGATTCGATGCATTTCACTTAGTACTAGACGGATCAGCCGTCTGAAACAATCCTTGAGCAAGACAGCAGCTGACTTTGTATACTAGATGCTACATGGTACAATACTTCTATTCTACTAAAGATAGCACATTTACTATACCAAGATGTTCGATTTTGTGGGCTGACATAGCAAGCCAAGAAGCCGCTGTGAAACTCACGCGCACACTGGGAAACTAGGCCACAACACGCTTACTAAACGGGTAAACGCTTACTTCGGTAGTGATGACAGTAATTGACCAGATTGACGTAAGCACAACGCTTTTTCCGAATGAGCATTGCTATCCTACTTCAACGCGTTTTGATAATCGATATTGGTTGAAATATCGACTTGTTATTCAAATGTATATTCTGCTCGTTTACTCAACTGCTGCCACTTCGGCTGGTTGTATTACTGCTTTGGACAAATCCTGTTGTTTAGCCGTCGTTAATAGCTTGTAACAGCTAACCTTAAATTTCAGGTTTTGCAGATTATTTTTAACGATGTTTGCACTTTAACAAAATGATAGAAGTTGTCCACATTGGAACCTTCAGCGTCTGCTAGCGCGATGTACCAGTCTTTCGAGACAACGCAGGTTCAATCTGTAGGCCTCTATCGTTTGAGTGAGTAAAAGTGATCATTCATCATAGTCCCGATGGCCTGAACATGGTGTCCGTTTGAAGCCACAAACTCCAGTGTGCTGGTATGCTGAAATTAAACATTGTCGGAAAACGTTTATTGTACCTCAAGCTATATCAATTAACCTCTACGCAAGTCAATACTTCTTCCCGATGTCATAATTACCATCACTTTTGGACAGGAACACTGTCTACAACATATA